TGCTAATTTCTGTATCTGATAGTACTACTCGCAATTTTGTTGTGCCGAATGAAATCACAATAATCACAAAAATTTCCTCCAGACCAATCAAGAAAAAATTAAGAAAAGAGAGGAAAACTCTAATATTTCTTGTACTATCGAGAAAATATTTGTTTAAATATTATTAAAATTAAATATTTCATTTAAATAAAATAAGAATATGTTAAAATAAAATAACATACATACAATTAAATATATCCTGAAAAAAAGTATTTCCTACACATATTTAATTATTTCATACTTTTGGTTAAAAGAATTGAATAGAGAAAAGAAATTAATAGCATTATATTTTAGGTAATATAAATGTTACGTTTCAACGTAAACTTTTATAAATTAAATTGCATTACATTTCTTTTATTTATTAATTTTAATATTTATTTTATTAAATGTAAAATCTACGTAGGTTTGTCATTAGAGACACATAAAAAGAGAACACGACAAAAGTTTCAAGTTACAAACTGTTAAAATATACCCGTAAAAATGTACCTGCACGTGCTTTACATATGGCATGTTCGCTTTTATAATGAAGTTTTGGCCGAGAATATTTTTCCACGAAGTATCGGTAATGCCACGCGCTTGCAAAATGAGACTATAACGAGCGACCACGAGTTAATTAACTTGCATCGCGCGTTTCTCAAAATTCTATTTTGTTTTGCATTAATTCTCGTCATCGTGTCGCATCAAGCATGCTTGGGACTTGTTTTATATATAATTAATTTTTTTATTAACTTTTTTACTTTTTTATAAACAATGAAAATCAGTGTTATCGATCATCCAATTGATATATCTACTTATGTTAATTCCAGCGTGATGTAGAGAGAATTATATTTAACAAATTAAATCACATACTGGAAACAATATTAAATGCTACTGAAAACATCAATATCTGTAATCCTATTTCACATTACATTTAACACAACAAAACTGAATGTATTGACAATCTGTGGAAAATACGTCGCATTCACATAGCATCATAACAGTATATTTTAAATCGAGAATAAATATGATTGCATTCTATAACAAAGATTGAATTATTTATAATCTGCTTTGCTTATCGATTACGAAAATTTTATAATGACTTTATTTAATATATATATATATATATATATATGTTGATGACTGTTATTTTATAATTAATGGACAACTGTCAGCCATCAACAATTAAACTCATTTAACTTAAAAACACAATCAAAAAAAACAATGTTAAATTAAGTATTACAAAAAATAATATTAAACTAAACCATATATATAAAATATATCATGCAAATTTCTTTTATGGACACTTACAAAAATTCTATATTGTGTAAAAATCTTATTAATATTTATTATTATTTTATATTATTATATTATTATTTTTTTATATTAATATATATGAAGAAAATTAATTTTGTCAATTCACCTTTTACTTTAAATTTTAAAATAATAAAAAATATAAGATTTTAAATAAGTTGATAACAAAAATCACAACTGGATAAATACTTTATTTAACTCTTCACGAGATTAAACGTTCTTCTTTCCTGCGAGACATTAAGAGCTGACGAAACGAGCTTCGGGAGTTATTACTCTGAAACACTAAAGAAGAAAAGGAACCAATCAAAACTGTGGAAAGGATAGCCAGCTTGGATAGATAGCTTGTGAATAGCAACGGAATATTACTTTCATTAAGAACTTTTCGAGGTTTTAAGGTCGTTTTTGTGATAATATTTATTTCTTTATAGTTTTATCTGTTTCAACTACTATTTGAACACTTAATAATATAAAAATTTAAATTAATAGACAATAAGCAAATGTAATTATTTTATTAAAAACAAAATATTTTTTATGTTATATATACAAATAGCGTATTATATTCATAAATTATTTATTTTGTAAATACTTATAATTTACAAAAATTATGTGTTTATTGTGTGTATGTATTTGTTGTATTATATATTTATTGTGTGTATGAAATTAATTTAATACAAAATATTATATATACATATATATATAAAATACAAAAAATTATGCTATAAATATAAAAACAAAAAATATTAAATGTTGTTTAATTTTTATTAAATATGTAAAACTGAAGAGAAAACTATACAGATTTGAAACAGATGTAAAACAACGGTTAAAATACTAATTAAAAGAGCAAATAAAAAAAGATGGATCACCAGCTCTTTATGTCACATCGAGAGTCGTATTGCACATGAACTAATGAACTCTGAAAGCAATTATTCTTGCAAGATATTACAAGGATAAAAAGATATTTAAAGCAACAAAGGATCATTAAGTCGCGATCTCGCGACTCGCAATGAGTGTTGTCTTCTCCAGAATTCTTCGAGACCCTCGAAAGTCGTTATGCCAACAGAAATTGTTGTTCTCTCTTACGGGAATTTATTACTCCGTTCTTCTTCTATTTATGACGGTATATTACTTAGAAACTACGCAGTTTCATTAAAACTTCATACAAAAGTGAACTTCTAAGATATGATATTGCTAAGATGCAGCATTCATCTTCGAAGTCTTTAAAACACATTCTTGTAATGTTTAATATTATTAATCTTGATGATATAATATTATATTAAATATTACATTTTTTTAAAAATTCTTATAATTTATAGCATTTATTTTCTTTTGCAAGTTAATCCAAGATGTTTCTGGTTACTTTTTCAATAAATATATTTGAAATTATATTGAATAATAATGAATTATATTTGAAATTATATAGTTCTGAAATTATTGATTGAATTTATTCGCCACATATTTGTAAATATTTTACGAGTGAAAGCATGAAAGCGCACAGAATGGAACGCCAAAGTTCGGAATTTGGGGAGATTTAATAGGCTCGCGGGTATCACCTCGAGGAGCGACATTTCATTTTCCAGCCGGCTCGGCTGATTCGATCGTGAAACGTGATTTTATAACACAGCGTAACTCGCTGGCATGTTTCCGTGATCTCAATGTAACTTCGTGGATTACCCCGTCAAGTTACGTTTACATTGCGCGTTTACCTTCTGGCTACGTCACCCTATTTTCCTGCGGGCTCATTACTTCTCTTAAGCCCGACGCTCTCGCAACGACGGCGGTTTTGTAAACACCGCGGTTTGGATTAGAAGGACAATTTCGAAGCTTAAACGCAGCTCGGTATCACTGTACTGCATTTTGTACCAGATGCATTCGAGTAACCGATCGCAATTAACGGCGATTTGCTGGATAGCAATTGCATTTACATCACCCAGAGATTGTAGCGTATTGTTGCATAAGAAAGAGAATAAAATACTGAGCATCAAAAAACGGCAACTCTTTAATTTTTTTTCTTTCTATTTTATTAAATGTGATCTTTCTTAAATAATAACTTTTTATTATTTAATAATCACTTATATCTAATAGCATAATGATTAGTTTATTTAATATACATAATAGTTTATTTAATATACATAATATCTCTCAAAAAATATTTGCAAAAATTATAATATTCATTTTATTGATTAATTTGTGATTGACTTTTTTAAATTAAGATTTAAAGAGTCTAGTAATTTTCGAGGCAGATTTAAATTAGTAAAGTCTTAAGTAGTCTTTAATAACTTATTTTAATAACATCATATCTTTTCATTTAACAAAAATTTCTTGAAGATTTTCTAAAAAAGTTCTCTGTAAAATCGTTAAAATATGTTTTCTTTGAAACTAGATTTATAGATTCTAGGATATTCAATCTAAATGTATGTTTATAATGAAATATGACATGAATTTCGTACTAATTGTTTTTTATTATTAATGAAATTCAAAGAATATTTACTCAGTAATCACGGAGAATATTCGGTCCTATGGCGATTCATGAAATTGTTCGTCAAACATAATCATAGTCCTAATTACATGGGCGTCCGATTTATTGTACATGTATGTATTTTGCGTCGTCACGCAGCACCGCAGCGGAAATGCAGCTGGTCGCAGATTAATTTACCCCACCCCTCACCCCTCGTTGGTTTCCTCCTCCGAGTCGACTCTCGATCGCAGGAACCCGACATTTCAAATGAGATTCGGTTAATGTGCGGCTCACGAGGTAATGGACAAATGCTCCAGCTCACCAGAAAATGCAAGCTAACCCCAAGTCGTTCCGAATCTCGTAATTACGCTCCGTCAAGTCCACTTTATGTCTTTCAGCCTCTGGATACTATCGAACGAACCAAAGGAAACGATGTCAGGACATTCGACTTACGGGAGTTCGAGTTTGATTTCCCATAATACATATATTGATTAAACAAAATATAATAATTTAATTACAATTATAATCAATAAATATTACATCATTCTGTGTAAATATTTCTTGAAAAGAATATTAGTCATTCTTATTTTTTAATAATTTTATATTGGTTACTGAACATTATTTAGTATTATTTAATATTAATTTTATTGAATTTTATAATTATCAGGAAAAAATTATTTTAACGTAAAATGTGTCATTATTATTTTCCAAAATTCTTTAGGATATTATTAACTATGACTGGAAATTGATCGTTAATATAATTGATCTTGGCGTGGGATATGCATTTAAGTTTTAACGTGGATACCGAACAGTTTTCGAAAAGTTAGAAAGTTCCGCGTTAGAAAGTTTACGTGCCCTTAATATGTTCGCGCAATATTTTAGCGAGTAAGTTAGCAACACGATAGCTTTCTTGGCACGAGTTAAAATTTGGTAATGAACTTTTATCTTAGCTTCCTATTTGCATTATGTAAAAAATCCAACGATTTCTCATTGCTATGATTGTATAAAATTTATCAAAAAATAATAGACACTACATTAATAGTAACAAATTTATCAATGTTAGCACGTATCAAGCATATGATGCACAACTAATAATTTTATCCTTTCAATTTCTCACAGATGATTGCCTCGTGCCATTGGCACGAGCCGAAACATCGAGACTGTGCAATATCTTAAGTACCCGACGAAGTACGATGACTCCTGCGGCAAGCAGAAATCTCTCGGGAGAGTCTCGAAAAGTATCTGACGAGAAGTCACAAATGGCCGTAGTCGAGAATCGATATTGCGACGCGACGAACTACCGTAAAAGTTCCCGAGGTCGGAGAATCTTCGTTCACAACGAGCCAGCCGGTGAGCGATATCTAGTCAACCCTCCACGAGATCGATGCCTATAAATTTCAAGGCGCATCGCAAAGGGCATTTTGGTCCCCAAGAGTGAGACACAAAAAGATTTGAGGAAGAAGCGACGATGACACGCTCGATCGCTTGAAAAATCAGTGTCAGCACTCACGCAGAAAACGACGAGAGAAACATCGCATCAACGATAAAAATGAGCTTCTTCAGCTCCCTGCAGGAATACGTGACGAACAGCGTGGCTAGCTTTAGCTTAAGCCCAAAAAGGTTCTCATTCAGTCGCGAGGATTCGAAAGGTGATGCCAGCGGGACCGGAAGAAGTAGTTCTACCGGAAGTGTCACCTCGACGACCAATACGAGTACAGCCGTAACTCAGCAAGCTACGCCACATGGCTTTCCCAAGGTACGTGATTAGAATAAATGTGCTGCAAAATAAAGAAAGAATCTTGGGTTAGATAATTCATTTTTTTATATAAAATATTATCAATGTGCAATTAAAGCGCAATATATCAATACGAATATGTTAAACTAGTTTTCTATGGTTATTATAATAAAAAATAGATTAGTAATTATTTACTAGAGATTAATCAATAATTGATGTACCTATTATATTGTGCTTAATTTTCAGTAAACATATTTTATACCGATGATTAAATCTACTTATTAACTAAATAAATACACAATTCAGAAATTGCACATATGGTCTTAATATACACTGTTGTGAGTTTATTTAAATTAAAGAAATAACAAAATACAGATTAATTAAGCTACATACGAAATATTGTAATAAGTTGATATCATTTTTGTGCAAAAAAATTAATACTTTTTCAATTGTTTCAATCATATTAATTTTATTAAATCCTGAATATTTTTCACCACGAATTCCAATAATTGGCATGCTATTGTGTGAATGGCAAAAATTTAATTGAGGATTTTAGTAGAGAATGTCATAATTTTAATCTTTTCTATTAAATAATAAATATTTTTACTCGGCAACAAAGCTAATAGTTTCACTATTCGAGGTGATATTCATTTTTTTTTTTATATTTCTAATCCAACAATCGAAAGCCACATTTTCTCAAGTAAATAAATAACACGATAAATTTCAATACAGATTCTAACAGAAAATCTAATTGCATGAAACCAAGATTAACCTCTTACAAGAAATACGAGATTGACCAAAGAAGGACTGTATTTTCTCTTGATTAAAGAAACCTAGATAGGCGACATTAAAGAGGATATGTTACGATCCGAGGACAGGTAGAGATGCGATTGTTGTCCATTTAGTGGAAAAGTTGATTTATTGATTACCGAAATGCACTAGAAGCAATAATTAACTGCTTGTTACATCGGTATTAATTTATGCAGATGTAAAAAATTTAATTCTCTGACGACATTATTTTCCAATATTATCAATATTGGAAATATAAATTATATCGGAAACAACATTACAAATATGTGGCAGGAAAATTTTAACAATGCAGAATTACGATTTTCGATTTCAATCGGAATTTATTAATGTATGATACATCAATAGGGATGTGTTTTTCTAATAAATATAACAGATATCATTATGCACACGATCAAAGGCAAATGTTTTCAGCGATGAATGATTGTGCGAACTGTATAATAATGTATAGCTGTAATTTATCCAATATTTATCGTTCGTTTAAATGAGCAAATGTGATTTTGTTAAATCTTATATATCAATATATAAAAAAGATTGGTCAATATGAGCAAACGTTTATAAATGTTTATAAATAAAACTATGTTTATTGACATTAATGTGTTAATTGAAACATCAATTAAATTAGAATTGATTGAACATGATTTATAACAATGTTTTAAAAAAAACATGCTGAGATAACTATTATCGTCAATTTTAATTATATTTCTTTTTTATAAATAATATTTTTTTCTTTTTATTAGGATTGCTTTTTAAATAGATATTCGATTCACTTATATTTATAATTAAATTTATAATTAAATTTATAAATAAATAATAAATTTAATTTATATTAATAATAAATTAAATTAAATTACCAACTATATTTATATAGATTATTATTATTTAGCATCGGCTTATTTACATTAGCAAAATACATTACTCACGACAAATAAGTTTTATATATTTAATCATATATATCATATATACATATTTGTTATTTTCTCTCATTAATCATTAATCATTCTGGTTGAATTTTGTACAGCATTTCTGAATCTCGTTTTATTATTTTTTTTTTTCAGGTTGTACCACCGCCAGGAACCGTTACGTCATCGCACACGCGCTCTCTTTCAGCACGTAGACGCACTCTCGAGTGCACTCCAGCTTCGGGGTTGACGGTACATCCCGCGACAGGAAGTGGTGCCACATCGCCAAGGCGAGTTGGTTCCTTTCGACGGAGCGGTGGATCTAGCGATCGACCGCATCTTGTGTTCTGCCGTCGTAGACCATCCTGGCCAGAGGTCGACATACAGGCCACTTCCGGGTAAGTACCCTGAGTAACGAGCGTGCATCTTACAGCGTCAAGCAACTGTCGCACTTTTCGTACTTTACCAAGTATACGACTACCATTATCAAATGCTAACTATTAGAAATTTAAAAAAGCAAGTAAAATAAAAATATTTACAATAATATAAATCTTTAATTGTTTAAAATAAAAAACAATTAAACAATATTAACAAGCATAACGAGGATGACATAAATATTAAAAAATAATTTTACGTAACTTTACATAATTTTACATAATATGAAAATAATTTTATGTACATATTTAAGCGATATATTTAATACAATTATTTTGAAATAATGAAGTGTGAAAACATACAGTATATATTCAGAATAATAAATAATATAATAATCTTAGTATGTGTGTATTTAATTAATAATTTAAAGATTGAGTTATGTCTTTATTTTTTATATGTAAAGAAAATAAATGCGAGTTATAATTATTTATCAAATTAACAAAATTTAGGAATTAGTCTAATATAATTGATAAAGTATAATATAATTGAAAGGGTATTTCGAAGGAAGCTCGCTTTTCGTCAGCAACGCTCAGCAACATCCTTCATGTACGCTCGAATAAATAATTTCGTTCGGTTGCTCGTCAAATTCTCACAACTGAATATTCTGAGATGCTCCTCACGCAATTTCAGATGTTTCAATCGGATCTTCAGTAAGACATTGCCTCTATTGCGTGAGCTAGCTATTCAATGCAATTTAATCCGGTTACATCAACGCTGTGCGCTAAGCTTTCCAACTATGTCTTCATCCTTTGCTTTTATCGAAGAACGCTTTAGAACAAGTTGCACGAGGCTTTTCGTGACAAACGTACACACGCACGCATATGACACGTACACACTCGCGCGCAAGCACACGTATGTATACTCATTTATTCATCTCCCCTTTTATCTTTCTTCCTTTCCCTCTTCTCTTCTTTTCTCTTTCTTCCTTGTTTTCTTTTAATGGATTCTCAACATCTGTAAACTATGATGACAAACTGCAGTCCGAGAAACGTGGAAGAGAAACACGAACAGTGGTGGCATTTCTACCATGGAATTTCGCGTGCATATTGCGGCGAATGCACTTTTAATAAGGCCACTACAATGCATCGCGACCTTTCTCTTAAGCTGCTTCGTTGCATATGCATAAGCACAGCCAGTCATTTAGCGCGAATTGTTAATCTCTCTTTAAAGCCTGCTTTTCTTTCTTTTTCCTAGCGTACCCTTCTAGCGAGTACTTCTGTCAGCCTGGATTTTACCTCTCGCGTGACATTTTTATACACGATAGATCTAAGAATCTCTATGAGCAGAATTGCAATTGATGCAATGGTTAAATTTTTATTGCGAGAATATGATATTGAGATTGATATGCGGAAATAATAAACAAAAATCTTGTATTTAAATATTGAATATTTTTTGTATCCAATATTTATATTTAAGAGGTATATTTAAGTGATGCGAAATAAAAAATGGTAAAATGAATGAACATTAAAAACGATCAATCTTTATTTGTTTTTCCAAAGCAAACAGGCAATATTATCTCTCTGTCTGTAAAAGTATCACATATATATTATACGTTTTTATGTATTTATTAAATGTTATAAAAAATTTTGTAAGATTAAAAGTACATGTTATATATAAAAAGCCATTTCATTTCAAATTTTATTAGAAATTTGATAAATTTATTTAATTTCATATACATATTGAATATGTATATGCATGTTTTATATA